TTGGTGTATACTTTAGAAAATATGCACCCAAATGGATACTTTCCCTTTCAAATACGGGGATGGGGGTTGAGAAGCCTGCAATTGGGAATGGGAATGGGGCAGACTGAGTTTCAAGGTGGAATCAGAGAACTTGATGGACTTTGCTGAGTCTCCCACCCCTAGATGGTTGTAACTTGCAGAGAAGGAGGAAAATGTTTTTAAAAGCCAGTTTTACAGAGATGCTGTGGTTTTGGAAATTATCGTCCAATTTCTAATATGCCATTCCTAAGGAAGGTCCTACAGTGAATGGCAGCTTGTCAAGTCCAGACATCCTTCAAGGGCCCTGACTATTTAGATCTAGGGCAATCTGGCTTTTGGGATGGGTTTTGGAATGTAAACTCTTTCACTTGCCTTGATGGATGACTTGTACTGTGAAATGGACATTAGGAATGTGCATAGTTTGGTATGCATGGACCTATAAGCCGCTTTGGATACCAACCTAGCTTAGTATGTACTATAGATATCATTATAGTATCCTTCTGGATCATATTCCAAGTTGGAAGTTGAATAAATTGTGTTACAGTGGCTCTAGGCTTACTTGAAGAGTATGGTCCAAAAGGAGACATCTGTTCCAATCTTGGCAACTGGCCCTTGGGATCCCTCAAGTTTCCTACATGTCCCCCTTGCTTTTTAACAATCATTGGGAAAATTATCTAGAATGTTGGACTCAGTTGTGAAATTCAGCCTCACTTGTCCAGATTTAATCCCAAGGATACAGTGGAAATCTCAAACACGGGTCTGGAGGGCAGTTTTAAAATGGATGTTGGAAAACAAGCTGAAAGTTAATTCAGATGAAATAGTAATAATTACATATTTACTATTGTGCTTGGTGTTGATATTAACTTTAACAGCTTGTAAGTTTGGGACCAGCTTTTGAAGGCCTGAAAACTTATGTAACTGCCTGTACATTAAGATCTACCTCTGAGGCCATGCGCTTTGGTCCATTAGCAAGGAAAGTTGTGTTGGTAAACATCAGGGACAGGCCAATTCCTACAATGGCCCTCATTTCTGAAATACTCTTCTTAAAGAGATATGTTTGCCAATATTGTTGGGGGAAGGCATAGGATAATTCTGAGCCCCAGCTCCAAGACCTAACTTCAAACCTGGATTTCCAAAGACTGAACTCATCCCTCCTCAATTCCTCTTGTACCCAGTGCTGAAAGAACCATGCTGGCTTTCTCCCCATAGTGCAACTGGGCCTCAGAGAGGACAAAAGGACTTGCAGCAGCAGAGGTGGGATAACACAGAAACCTAGGATTGACAGCTAATTCCTATTAGCACCCCAGCTGCCTTCTCTCCTCCAACCTGGTGCTTTACCTAGATGACCAAAAGTCCAAATATCTTATCTCAACACTGCTGGGAGGATGATTTATAGTGAAAGGCAGTTAAAAGAGCTACACAATACAATAAAGTAAGCAGGATACTTTACTTTGCTGCTTTGAAGCACAAAACACATCTTACCATTGTGCGGTCATCATGCCGTGCATTTCCTATGATGTGCTGCATTACCCTGCCTCCATGGCATCAGCTGCCATTGGTCAGGCAGAGAAAAGTCCAACATGATAATGTCAGGCAGAGCAGAGAATGTGATGGCAGGATTCCAGAATTCCAAGTGAGCTACACATTGCATCTCATGCATCTTTGGGTCCTTGATTAGCTCATCTTAGCGTTTGTTTTTGACATTTCCCCCTCATTTCTGCCATATATTTATTAAATACCCATATACATTTTGCCTGCACAGAGAAGTTTATATTCCAGCTTCTACCATTTAAATCAAACACATCTGATGAATGTGAACTCTAATGTGAAAATTTGTTTTGTCCAAATATCTTAATTTGAAACAAACACACATGAAAGCTCAAAACTACATTTAAGCCATGCCAAAAACAAATAAGCATTTTCCATTATTGCAAAGTCCTTTGTCCAATAGTCTTGATTTCCTGATGGGTATATATGAAAGATTAATCTGGCCACAGGAATGAATATGTGTGCAATTGGCCATTTTGTAAAAAAAAAATGTCTCAAATAATAAATGCCCCCTCCTAAAACAGATGCTCAAGATAACCTAACTATTTAACCTGTTTTGGGGTTTTGTTTTTGTTTTGCATGAGACAGAAAGTAATATTAAAGCACATATAAATCAGATAAAATGTTCTGAAATGGAGGAAATAGGTAATCATCCAGCAATGATTACTAAATGCCACATATTATCAACCAATAATCTAAGTTCCTTTGCACTTTGTATATTTCATCTGGGATGGATATATTTTAATTTGCCTTCCCAGGGAAAAAATACTTTGCAGCTGTATGATTTTGAAAGTGACGGTATTTTTAATGTACATGTGTTCAGGATTACTGCTTTTAAATCAGAGATTCTTTAGACTAATAAAAAGTATAAGAGAAAAAGAAATGCAGAAAGCAAGGAGAATAAACAGATCACTTCTGAAGTCACCAATTGGTAATGATCCAGGCTGAATCAAAACTTTCTACAGTGTGCTGCAGAACTGCAGAAAAATGACTTTATTTTCTCAGATGCAATTTATCACTCTGTAGCCTCTGAATCCTCACATCAGTGATTGCTGTCAAATGCTGGAGCACCCTTACTGCCCCCCAATAAGACATTGCTGCAGTAAATGTACAAAACCAGTCCTCAAGGCTTTCCCCACCCCATTTTTTTAAGGTTCCCCCACTTTTCCATTCTAGAGTCCTTGAACCAATGCCCAGACCAACTTGGAAACTGGTTTATTTGTTCACTATTATTGCTCCTCATGGAAATCACAGTGTTTGAAATTGATCAGCAATGCATCCTTGGATTATGTGCCATTGTTAACAGGATATTGGATGGAGGGTCATTATCACCCTCGACAGATTCATCAGCAACAAATATCATTGGCTTGGCTGAATAACAGCAGATAAATATCTGTTTCTCCTGAAAAATATTCAGCCATGCTGCAAAAAAGCAACAGTGCCAGGAAGGCTCCTAAAAGTGAATTTTAGCTCCGTAGGCACTTCTTGAGTTCGGGAGTGCAATGCAAGCCAAAGAAAGTGACTGCACGGAAGGGGTGAGCAGTGGCGGGTGGGCCAGCTATGTGGCATTTGGTCTTAAGACCTAGTTTCCTCTTCGGCTCCTCAGGCAGCTAATGCAGCCATGGTAGATTTGGCAAGGGATGTGAGATGTTTTATTCACAATGCTGTAACAAGTTCCTACAATAATGCCTTGAAGATTATCATTGGCTTATTTAAAAATTGAAAACAGACAATTGGCCAAATGTCAATCTCCAAGGGTGAATGGATGTGCATATTAGTAATCCACCTCATTATTTTTGCAACGTTCTGACCACATGCTCTTCCAGAAGCTTTTCTTCTTTACTGTTTTTGCTTGCATCAGAAGATACAGAACATTTTCAGATCCAAAGTGCTACTGGGTACCTGCTGAAGTGCCAGGGGCTAAACATGTACACACACCCACACACACACTTGGTTCATCCATGTGCACACATACTTATACTGTACTGTTGTATTTTAATGTTATATTTATATTTTAATTTATATTATAATTATTTTAACTTAAATATGTGAGCCGCCCCGAATGGGGCAGCATAAAAATGTTTTAATAAATAAATAAATACTTAAATGTGCAAATACACTTCCATATATACGCACACACATGGGATCATAGACATGCCTTCCACACAGATATGCCTGCATACACATGCTTCCCTCCACTTATACGCATAGGCACCCTTCCCTCCTCCACAGACTCTTTCCACCCTTTCTCCTCCTTCTCTTGGCTAGAATTAGCAAAAGGAAACCTTTCCCTGTCTGTGTTTTTCCCCAGGAAAGATCAAAGGCAAGGGACCTGATTTCCTCTGTTAGCCCTGGCACCTGCACTGGCAAAGGAAACGCAAGGTCTTCCCTGACTATCACCCACAGGGGAACCTCTAGTCAGGGTCTCTGCAACTCCATAGGCCATGCTGGAGATGACAGAGGCAGGTATGTGCCCTTGATCAGACCTAAAGTTAGCTGCACTTATTTTTAATTATCGTTTCTGGGGAAAAAAAGACCATTTCAAGACCAAATTCTTCTCATATATGAATTTTTGGAAGGGATATGGGTTTAACTAAAGTACATTATATATTGTTCATCGTTATAATATATGAAGTAAAATGGAGGTATTAACTGGTCTCCTGGGGAGCCGGGGCATGATGTTTATTGTTATTTTTAATTATCAGTTGGGTTGTAGATGCTAATATTATTGATATATTTTAATATGTATTGTATCCCAACTGCATGTATTTATGTTCTGTAAAAAAGAAAATAAAAATGGGGGGACCATATTCTTCTCAAGGTGTCTTACAACATAAGAACAATACAACAAACCTATATTAAACAAACCTCTGCATATGAAGTTAGAAGAGGGGCAGGTCACATTACATGACCAACATATTCTCATGACTTAAGTTTATTCCATTGATTTTATCAATTACAATAAAGGAACTATGAAGTTTAGGAACTTCATAGATTCACTCATTGAAAGCCAGTGTGGCATGATATAGCATTGGAATAGGAGTCAGGAATTCTAGGTAGACCCTGCTTGGTCATGAAGCTCACTGGGTGACTTTGGGCCAGTCACCAACTATCAGCCAAATCTCTCTCTCTCTCTCTCTCTCTCTCTCTCTCTCTCTCTCAAATTATATATACTATTCACAGCTCACAAGCTTTCTGAATAGTTTACAACCTATCCCACAGCACTGTTGTGAGAATAAAATGAAGTGGAGGAAGATGATTGCATAATCTGCCTTGGGTTCAAGGGAGATATAAATATAATACAATATATTTTTTTAAAAATCTATCGAAAACTACCTTCTAATCTAAATTCATGTTCTGTCTCATAGTACATTTCTGATTAGTTACATGTACATAGTGGGGGGAAAGCCTATGACAAAAACATCTGGACTCACCTGTAATTCTGCTTTTCATTTCCTATATAAAATCTATCATACTGTGAATAGGCCCGGCTTCCTTCCCAATCCATTAGTTCAATTCTTAGTGAATAGTGTCTTTGACTGCTGGTTATTGCAAAGATAAATTCATTCCCCAGCCAGTATTCACCAGAGGGGTTACCAAAGCCCTAGAAGAAAAGGGAAGAAATTCAGTTTAATGGTCCTTGCTTATATCTGTATAATATTGACATTGTAGCAATACCTATAGTATCCTATCACAACCATCACCTGAAATAAAATAAACTTTAATAGTGGCTTTGACAAATAATCAGTTTAGACCCAGAATAAGGTTGTTTCCTAATCATGTGTAGATAGAAAATCTCCTATAATTCCCAGGATGACTGGTTGGGACATGGTGGGAGTTGAAAGCCTTTTTCTTTTCAATCTAGATAGGATTGTGCTTTAAGTTAGTCATGCTTTACTTCTGTAAAAATCAATAGGGGAAGCTAGCAATAATAGTTACATTACATTGATTTCAGTTAAAATATGAGTAGCTTTAACTGAATGAAACCTATCTTTAGAAAATACAGCAAGGGATGGTGCACATTCCTGGGAGTAAACAGGACAGACGGCCAGTTTCAATTTAATGTTCCAGTAAAGGAAATGAAGAGAAGACAATATAGGTGCTGCAAATGTGTAAATGAAGCAGCAAAACCTGTGATGTTGGACCCCATGAATATCCAGAAATGTACATGTAAATGGCTGGTATAGCTAGGCCACATCTCACTGCCCACCTGATAAAGTTCTTGCAATAGCAAGAGATAGTTTTTGTTCATAACTGTGGCTTTTGTGGGGAATTTACCAGAACCCCCTTTCCATGATTAGTATGTGACGTTACTACTGGGATTGTGATGCCACTGCATGGATGCCAATTTTATGAAGTGGCCGCTTTGCACCCTGTTTGTGGCCACTTGGGGACAAAAAAGGAATAACTTGGAAGGAGTAAACACTCCAAGCAGCTTGCCCGGGATACGACACCTGGATTGGCAGTATCTAGGTACCTGCTGACTTTGAGGAACCATGCATATAGTAAATCAATGACAACATTATTTTGGAATTTGGTGTCTATTATTACAGTGACACTGCTCACTGCTTTTGTGATACAATTTATGCAGGTACCACTGCCATTTAAATAGAAGAGTTAATCCCCTATAAAATATTCCTGGGACACTTGGAATATTTTGCAAAGCACCCATTTTGGAACATTTAAGATTGGTATAAGTTGTTTTCTGCTGATATAATGGCACAACTTGTGGATGATTGTGGAGCTGAGATGACAAAAGAGAAGCAAACAGTTGATGTGGAATGCATTGGAAGAGAAGATTGGTTCCCTTGGATGTTCCTTTGTGCCTCTAGAGACAGAGGAATCATGCTTCCTATGACTCTTACAACAGGAGAGGATGCCTGGTTCTGGGTCTGCTGTACTTGCTAGGCTTAAGGAGCTGCTCTGGCCGTAGTTACAAAAAGCACTGTACTCTTATGAACTGATATGGCTACACTACTCTGGCAGTATCCAAAGACAATAGTCAACTCTTCGGTATTACTTAAGGGAGGTTAAGATCTGAAGGATATATAATAAGAACTAGAGACAAAACTGAAATGGCATCTTGTGTTAGCAAAAGCCATCTAGGGCCAACTAGCTCCAATTTAATAGCGCTGCAATTAGCAAAGTCAAAATAACAAGAAAGGGGTCAAACAGTGACTGTGAGCTGTAAAAGCAACATGAAGTACCCAATGTGAATGTTAACAGTAACATTAAAAATGTGTAGAACTGACGTTAACTAGGGCGGGGGTGAAAATACTGTGGATGGTGCAGAAGTGTTTTATTAGCTTTGGCAACTTGCATAAGGGTATCCTATTTTAATCACGTCTCTTCAACATCATTAAACAATTATCTCTCTTACTTTATTTATTTTGTCTGATAATGTCAAAGGAGGGTTTGACTTTTTTTTAGAAAAGACAAAACAAAATGGAAACCAGACACAGTCAATACATCCTGTGGGTTCATCTCTTGTGAAATAGCCCACTGGAAAAAGCAGCTAATAAGTCAGCTCCTAGCCAGAGAGATCTTGTGTTCCCAGCTGCAATAAAGAATAACAAAGAGGATTCTAAAGTTTATGGAGCAGCTTTTGCTGGTGAAGTATGTTATCATTTTTGTTAGAGCTATTAATTCCTCATTTACATATTCATATATCACCTTCTAATAAGATAATTTCTCATGAGGAGGCTTACACACAATTTCCATAAAACAGTTGGGAGAAACAATGATAAAATCAGGATAATAAGAACAGCACAGCTTTTTAAGTGTTGGAATACAAAGCAATTAATCCCCAAAAGATTTCTGGAGCGTCCAACTCTGAAGTTAAAGCACTGTCTTTAACCTTGGAACTGGAGATCCAATGTATCCTATATTTTCTCAGGCACTTTCAAGTGGACATAGGATTGCTCCCTGAAAAGTAGGCCAGCTTAAGACATTTTGCTTGAGGACAAGGAGAAGATACAACCCTTCCTCAATGTAAAGAAGCTGCCCAAACTGGCAGTCGAATCTTGTTCTCATGCTGCAGACAAGATGACATCATCCACCACACCAGGGGGCAGCAGACCAGCTTAGGGAATGTTGATGGCTGCATGGTCCATAGCCCTCTATACTTCAGCACCTCACTGATACTCCTGAGCTCCCAACATTTTATTATTTATTTATTTATTTATTAAAACATTTTTATGCCGCCCCATTCGCTGAAGCCTCGGGGCGGCTTACAACAATAAGTTAAAAAATAATTATAACATTAATTAATTTTCTGCTTGAGGAAGTTGTATCACTGCACCAAAGGCAGTGGTGGGATAACCTTCTTGCCCTTGAAAGTTCCATGTGTCCAAACGAACAATGGATACATGCTGGTAATGGTCATGGTCAGAGCCAGTGGTGAATTTTCCACAGGTGTCTCTCTCTCACCCTTCCACAAATATACACAATCACACACACAGCCACTCCAGCCTACTCACTGTCTCACTCATACACAGAGACATCCTCTCACACAGGAAGACAGACACATGCAGACTCCTCTCTCCCTTACTGTCCCTCCTTGAAGGTATGAGGATTATCATCAAGACCTTAAACACACCCTTCCTGGTCAAGAAAGACTTTTACTGCAGGGAAAAAAAGAGGTGGCTGCTATTCTTTTTGGTTCACTGGAAGAGGAGAAATTGGTCGTTTACAAAAAAAAAAAAGGACAAAAGTTATGTATTTTTCAGAAGTCATGTATTTGATAAAGTTGCATGTTTTTCAAGTGCATGTTTTCCAAATCTAAATGCAATTTCAGTTTTCAAACATTTCTAGAGATCATTTGCTCCTTTCTGCATTCAAGTTCAGGGTTGCAAATGGTGAATGTCCAAGTGACTCATGAATGGAATTCTCTTACTCCCTAACCTCACTGACTCTGTAGCTATGCTCTCAAGCATAACCATATTGAGAAAGAAAACACAGAGAGCTTTTGAGCAGTATAGAAATATAAATCATGAATAAATGAGTATGAAGGGTTCTTGCAATTTTGCCACCCAATCCAGCTGTATTGCAGCTTCTAACATAAGCAGAAAGGAGTGTCAAAAGATTAGAACAGAGTGGCAAAATACATCCTTTAAGCCAGCAATGGAAAAAAGGTATTTCTGTAGTTAGCTTTGGTCCTCAGTGCCTTTTCTAGCACAGCCAGATTGCTCTGTAGGGAGTGTGACATGGAAGGCCAAGACCAGGCCTCACACCCGTTTGCAATCCAGCCAAGCTTCAACATTAGGGAACCAGACACCCCGGTAGGCAACTGGAGGCGCTACTTTGCCATTGACCTCCTGTTTACATATTGAAAAACCAATTCCTCCTCTCCTGAAATGCACATGTATAAGTGGCATAACTAATCCCTTAGGGCACAGTTATGCTTAAGGTGTAGAGGTAGTTTCAAATATACTATCCTTTTGACCACTCCATTCTGCTACATTTGTAGGTGCAACCTTCTTCAAAGCCATTGCGAAGAAAGAAAAAGAAAGAGGGAGGGAGGGAGGGAGGGAGAAAAGGGAGGTGGTATGTTTCAGGGTGGTCAGACATATTTTTAATATATGGTCTGCCATGCATTCCTGAAAATCACAGAGAAGCGTAGCTGTTAAACATGAGCAAAATGTAATTATCATTCATCACTAGTTTGGCTGCACTGAAGCTGGCTCTTCTGTAAAGAGGATGAAGATGGAGATGCATGTCTTCTATCTGAATTGTGGTTATGCACAGCAATAAAAATTGTGTAAATAGCCACATTAGCAAGCAGGTCCATGTATTTCATAGTTCACCTAACAGAATTTGCACAAAACAGCCACGAGGGAATAGCCGAAAGTTGTGCATGATTGAACAGCTCTCTTTTGGGCACTGCTGAACTCTGCTTGTCCTCTCTACCGTGGGTGTTATTCGAAACACATCAATGGCATGCAGCTGAAATGTTGAAGGCAGTGGATTCAAATGATATATAACCACATGTCAGTGCAATCCTAGCAACAGATGCTATCCAGTAACATTCAAAGAGGGAATGCAATATTATCTAGGATTCTGTATCACACGCATAACATGGCTCGGGCAAAGAAAATCTACCTAACATTTTATTCAGTAACAGAGAATATACAACAAATTAATTGTGCAGAAATGTATGTGGTGGCTTGCGATGCATGTATACGGTGAATTTGTAAAATTTTCATTTTATTTCTGACAGCAAGTGTCTCAGCCATGGGTGGGAAAAAGCCTTTTTTTGACTAACAGGTGGTAAATAAATAAGAAATAATATTCAAACTCACTGAAATGTTTTGGACTTTACTTTGAAGCTCAGTTCAGCTCACCCTAATTCTCATTTATGACCTGTTTTATGGTTCATTTGTGCATTTTTCAAAAGATGAAAACTTTGATAAAGTTTTGTGTTTTTCAATTGTACATTTTGCAGACATGAATACAAGTTTGGGGGTTTGCAAACATTTTTGGAGAATGTGTGCTTCCATTTGCAGTCCTGCTCAGGATTGCAAACAGTGAATTTTAAAGTGATCTGTGAGTAAACCAAAATTCTGATACAGCCACAGCCCTAGTCTCAAATTTCAAATGCTGAATTCTTGGCCATGTATGCTTCTGCCTACAAAGGCCACCCAACTTCCTACTTTCATCTGAGTGTTTATATTTGTGTTTGATTGGTATTATCAGTCTAGTCCAGCAAGTGAATATTATTCCTATTCCCTACTCCTATCTTACCTGATATTACAGAGACATAATTGTTCCCCAAGCATTCCTGACAGGAATAGAGTCTGGTACTAAGACAGGAACTGAAGTATAAAGACAAGAAGATAATTTTAGACCATGAATTTAATGATTTTATGGAGGCCCTCTTTAGAGGCCCAGGGGTATAACTTCAGTTGTGAAGTACACAACTAATATTTATGTTTCCCTTCTCCCCAGTTTCATCCCATACAACTGCTTCTACCTTCCATTTATACCACCCCACTTTCTCCCATTGTAGAACACGTGGTTCCCTGACCTGCTGTTAGTCATAGAAGTTAATATAAATGGGATTTTGATTTCAACAGATGACTGCCTACCAGGCAGATGCCATTGCAATGGAGTGAGAATCTAGGACCACTACAATCCTGAATTACTTCCTGATTTCTTGACAAAACAGAAGTTCTGGCATTCCACATAGGCTCAAAAATATATTATTCTTCATCTTGTGAGTTATGAGCACACATGGCCTTGTTTCATGGGAGAAAATAGAAGAAAAGAAGGAATAACCAAGGAAAAGGCCATCAAAGAATATACCAACTCAAGAGAAAGAATGCGATGAAAACCCAAGTGTAATTGAATCTAGAATGGATATTGCTCCCATCTGAGTTACTGAATCAGCACCTACCATCATGTTTTTTTAACCTCTCAGTCTTACAGAATCAGCTATTAGGTTGTAAGCTTGAGCACAATAACTGTCAATTATATTTATTGGGTAAGTCAACCTGAGATACTTTTTTGCTTGAAGACCTGGGTAAAAATGTCTTAAACAAAGTAATAATAAATTGAACCTAATTTCTTTTTAGGTGGGGTTTTTGTAATATCTAAGATAAATTTGAAATTTTTATCTCAGTTCTATAAGGCAGCTAGAAGGATTTCATAAAATACTTTCTGAATGATTACGTTTATTAAAAAATAATCTATTCATCTTGGAATGTGCGGATAATCTCAGGCCATGACCTTAGTAGGCAAAGCTGAAGTATATCACAACTATCACCTCCATATTTGGCAAACATGTTTCTATTTGCTTGGTTTATAATGTACCCTTTTACAGCACCTGGTCTACCTGCTAACACCACCAGCCACAACAACAAACAAACTACCAGTAGTGAACTTATCTGAAGTAGCTGTATTTAAGCTATCAAAGTACTGTGAAACCAAAACAATTCAAAAGCATAAGTGGTTAAATTACATGAAATTTTGTTTCAGTCAAAAACATACTCCTTAAGCTAAGCCAAATGCTTTTTGTTTGACAAATACATACAAAAGTGGTTTTCCACTGAACTACTTAGTAAAAAGAGTAGAATGGAAACAGTGAAGTAAGCATGACTAACTCTGAAAATGATATACACAAAGCTTTTTGTTAAAAAAAACAAGCACAACTCATTTGAAAGAGGAAATGATTTAATCAAAAACAATTTTCCTTGATTTATTAAATTGATTGAGATTATGAATTCTAGCTTTAGCTTTCTGATATACCCAAGAGTCCTTGAATATCAAATTAAATATATTTCTAAATCTCATTGGAACAAAATCCTTAATAGAATACCTCATAGTGGACTGTTAGATTCCATTATCCATAATGAAAAGCAACAGAGTCAGAGCTGGAGTCAAAGGTAGACAAGGTTGGGCACCTCCTGATATTCTACACCCCAGCAGGGGCCCACTGTCCCCACTCCAGGTTGCTGCTCCGTCTCTCCTGGTACACCTGACTCTTATTCTGGTCCATGAAATACTGGTGCAGAGAATGAGAAGTACCCGATGCCACTGCTTACATGTTCTCTGGCTTTCTACATTTCAAGTAAGCAAGTGGTAGCAATGATAAGAAAGGTGAGGATGAGCAAGAGCAGCTGGTGGCAATGGTTGCAACGAACTTGCTGAGAGAAGGCCCTGGTGTCTTGCCCAAGGGCCCTCAAAAACCAGTGACAAATAGGACTCTACCAGTAGTTTGTCTAAGAGGCCCAAAGCATTGGGTGGGTGGGATGAGGTTAGCTGTTCAAAATTCCCTTATGATGAGCCATAACAGTTGTGCTTTAAAACAAACACTGGAATTTGTTATGGATGTATACAGAATATGGTACTGCTGTCAATTTAAATGAACAAGAAGAGATGCAAGACCTCCAGTAGAACACCTAGAGCTACATATCTTTGCTTGGGGAATGGATGCACAATCTAATCTACTTCAGGGTATCATCAGGGTGAAAAACCACTGGAATGGTTGAGAAATTCTCTGTAATAGAATTGGCCTTGGACTGAGAGTTTCAAATAATAATATAATGAAATAAACAGGGAAGAATAAGAGCATGTATAGAATATGCCAAAATGGCCCCTGGGTAAGATCTCCCCCTGTTTTGGGGAATGAGGCCTTGGGCTCAGCAATGACTGCAGATAAGTCCACATTCTTAGAAGCTCCAGCACACAAGAAGCCCACTGTTGTACCACCACACTGTCCAGCACAATTCCTTCCCCAGATGGCAAACTCTCTGAACAGGATCCCACAGCAGAGCCACAGAGTAGTTAATGGGCACACAGACAATGGCTGTTAAAGCAGTAAAAATCCTCTTTAATAACCAGAGCTTCTCTCGGGATATATGAGAAATTCTGGTTTTGATCAGGATTTACCTAGTTTACCTCTTTCAATACTAAACAAGGACTTAGACACAATCTGTGGTCAAAGGATGCATATTTCCAAGACTGTGAGCTATTCTGTGGATCCAAAGAACTGTGTTCATTAGCACATGTCTATTTGAAAAATTCACATAAAAATGTGCATATTGAAAAATGTTCAAATTTGCTTTAGTCAATGGGCCAAGAATGAGTACATATCAAAGATGTATACATTTGGAAAATGTATACATTTCATTTTATAGGTGCTTTTGGAAGAATGAGGATGAAAATAAGCTTGGATGTTCATATAAACAAACAAACAAAGCTTGCAATCTGATACAGATTCACATTAGAATGAGCTTTGGAATGGAATTTGAAAACTACTCAGTGAGCAGCTCGATTTATGTCTAGTTGCTACTGTTAAACAATTATTTTAAACAATTATTTTAAACAATTATGTTAAACAAAGTCCGGCTAGAGTACCATTTGGAGCTGTCCAGGGTGCTATCTTGAATCTGAACTCTTGCTTTGCCTTGAACTGGGATGTATACAAGAACCCCATCCACCACCATTTGGCAACGAGCACCACTTGCAACAAAGCACCTACATGGCATCTTCAGTTGACAGAGAGCACCTCTAACTGAGCGTCTCCCAACATTGAGCCTCCATGGATCCCAGGTGATTACGTTAGGGGCAACATCCTGTCTAGATAAGTCAGCATGGTTAACCTTGGGGGAAGATGGTGAAGATCATCATTTGACTATCAAACAATGCCTTCTCTTATTAGCCCAACTAATTTTACATATGGGATTGAAGAAAATACTGCCAAAAGTACTTCATCTATTGGGTGGTACAGAAGACAAATAAATAAATAATGAAAGAAGGAAATACATTTTAGAATTTTGAAACCGAAATCCTTCTCAGATACAGTCTCCTTTTGCCCTGTGCACCCTCAAAAGCTTGTTATTAGCTGTTGCTTCTCCCCTCAATTTAGATAAATAGGTAAATAACGTGCTTTTAAAGTGTAAGGTAGGGCAGCTGCCCCCAGTCTCCAAATATTCCAACTGCAAGTCTCATCAGCCCCAGCGAGCACAGTCAGTGTGCAAACCAATGGCTAAGACCACAGTTCAAACCAATGGCTAAGACCAGCAGGAATGGCTGCGTCTCTCATGCACAGGGACTTCAGTTTCATTGCAACATGGCAGACTTTCTCTATGTCCACCAAAAGCTTTCTCTCAGAGGAAAAGGGCTTTCAGGATACATAACTCTTAAAACACGAGAGCCTGCCAGTCTTGAGCAGGAAAGCTTTCCACTTGATTATGAGGAGTTTGGATCTCATTCCATGTTAAGGGTTTTTGTTATTATTATGTGCAAGACACCCTCCCGTGACAAAGAATTGAGATCCTGGATAAAGAAAGGGGTTTTAAATGAAGCATTTATCCAAAGCATGATTCATATTAAAGCAAATCAAGAAAGAAGTCTTACAATGGCTACAATAAACTTGCATGGCAGTTTCTTCTGGTTTTATTGTTTAATGGCGCTTTCCCAACACAAGCTGTTGGCACAGCATAGGCATGATATGCTTCAAGGATTTCCTTCAAAATAATAATATTTTTTTTAAAAAGCAAAGCAGTTCTGCCAGTGATTCTAGGCGTACATTTCTGTAACTGATAGCCCATCTTACCATTTTGTACTCTTTCCAGCTTTTGTGGAAATCTAGGCTCCCATCTTCTCGGTGCTGTATAACCGTCCAACCGCCTCCTGTGGTCTCCATATTGCAAAAGACCTAGGGACAAGGATATAAACACTGGAGAATCACATGTTGACTCATACCCTTGAGAGATCCAGTTCCACTTCCTACCAGCAACAGTGGACTACCTGATTGCCCAGGGAAGTTCACAAATAGTGCAAATCAGGTGGCAGGATAGAATTCCTGTACATTGTTACCAGAACCTAGAAAGACATACACAGTACCAAACAAGGAGGATGCATCTTTTTACGTATATGCTTCATACAGCAATGAAGGTTGCCATGGAATTGTGTCTACCCCATTACAATATAATCCTGTAGCCCATACATTTATGAACCCAAAGGAGATCAACATTCAGATCAAGTGCAATGTTTCTGCTGCTGTTCATCATGTAATGCCTTATATTAAGCCATGCGATGCTCCTCCACCCTATCAATAATAATCATATTTTTCCCTTCAGAGAGGGGTATTATAGAGATAATGGAAGTAGAAAAATGCCAGCTAAAATGATAAATGGGTTCTTTCATCTCCCTTATGGTGCAGTTTTTCAATGCTAGAGTTGCACTGGGAGAAGAGTAGAGAGAGATCTGTCAATACATTCAATAATTTTATTGTGTAGGACTTTAACAAACCCCATTCTGTTGTACGTCACTTCATACCAGCACTTTTATGTTTTGACACCTTCCTAATAATTCCTAACATTTGCATGTATAGCTGTCATTGAATTCCATAGGCCAATGAACTTATTTTTTGCATATTTACAGTACATTAGAATCTTTCGGTACCGCTGTATGGTTAAAACAAGCAGCCTTCTATGCATTATGTCATACATTATTCACGTTACACCTGATGTTTGGCTATTCAGTCACAGGACTGAAGTTGCCATTTGACAGGCACCTTGCTAGAGAAGAGGCAAATGCATACCTGAAATGGGCGGCATAGAAATGTTATAATAATAATAATAAGTAATAATAATCAAAGAGGCAGCCCGCCAAACCATTTTAGGAATTAACAGGGGCAACAATCTAGGGTGTATTTCACATGTGAAGAAGATCCCTTTGCAAACAGATGCAGCTGGGTTTCAGCTGTCTTCCTCTAGTGCTACTGATTCAGCTGTGGCATGTGCATGTGCATATTCTTCACCACCACAGAGATGTGTCTGACAATGAGGGTCTCTCCAGCTGGGGAAGAAGGGATCACTTCATTGGAAATCAACCCAGATGGTTGCAGCATTCACATGTATGCCACATCCTTGTAGGATTGTGCGAAGGAATGAGGAGGGCAACTGCCATGTGAATGCAGTTGCATGAAAATAGTGCTTCAGTGCATATATGCATGAGGATCTAAACCATGTTGTGCTTACAAGTGTATAAAGTTTATGTCAGATACTAGTCCTTAGACAAAATTGAGTTTCCAATGATTGTACTAAGCTTACTATGTCAACGATTCTTTTAAAAATGGTTGATAAAAATACTATCATTCCTACCCAGAAAGAGGAAAAAGCCCAGTTCAAAGGTGTTTCTGTATCTGCCCAGTATGTAAATTTACTTGTCCTTAATTGAAACAGCTTCCCTATAAACCTTCATGAATGCATGCACATTCCAGAATGGCTGAAATTGTTCCAAATGTCCTCTCATTGTGAACTTTTAACAAAACAGCATGTAGTACTTGTGTTTGTAGAAAGATTTTAACAAACATCCAAGAGTTTTTATGAATTCAGCAAAGTTTTGCAGTATTCTCATGGAGGACAATAGAAGGGAGAAGACCTCATGAAACTGGCTGGTAATGTAACATGGTACATGACCTAATCACATGAGGGTCACTACCCAATTCCTTTGAACTGTTTGTCATAATCATGCCATTTTATCCTTAGCTGAATCAATTCCATGCTTTTCACCCTAAAGTGCATTGTCTGTATCAATGTCTCTGGGTTTCTCCCATTGTATGACTTTGATTCTCGTCTACATAGCCAAGGACCCTTGATTGTATATCAGAGGAGGGCGATTGTTCACTGCTCCAAAATGTGAACCTTATCTGAGAACGAGAAGACAAAAAGCCCCAGAGAAATACTTTTTTCCATAAAGAAGAATGATTTGGTTCAGAGCTTTTTTCCACAGTTACATTTACGTGCAAACATTTATCTACAGCATGTGGTTTCCTTGGTCTTTGGTTTATAGCAGGCACCTTTAAACAATCATGTATCTTCTTTAACATACACATCAAGTTCAGAAACTCAGTGATCTTTTTCCCCATTTCACAGCTCAGATCCTTATGCTTCATACAGTAAACTCATGTTTCCGTAAATAAAGTGGAGAGAGATAGGTAGTTGTACACTTATACAGGAAATTTCTTGAACTGTAATAAAAAGAAATCCTTTTCTAAACAACTTTTGAAGTGATGCAGCAAATTAAAAAAGAGGAATCCTACAATGGCAGAGGGATTTACAGCACTGAATTGTGTGCTGTGTGGTCTAGCTTTCCAAAGAAATGGATGGGAACACCTGCCACATTAACAGGAGTGGGAAGCCAATTATAAATGCTAGATTCCTGCTATTTGAGCCAACAAATGTCCTTGACTGGCTCATGTCCCAGACAAGGTCGGGGCACTCAGCCATTAAACACCTTTTAACATGTTTTGAGGTTGAAATCTAAAAACACGCATACACAGGGGAAGTACGAAGGATTTGAATTACTCTGCTTCTCTGTCTCCTTGATCTTGATTGAGTCTTAGCTGAATCATCACAATTCAATGGATTATAATGAAATGGAACTCCCTAAACTGATAAAAGATGAAGGGGGTTTACAATAACGTCTGGAAACACGTACTTCTGCTGCTGTTGCAGATTAAAATATAGATGTTTATAAGCACTATCATTATCTTTAATGCATCAACCAACAGGATAAGGAGGGCCTCAGTTTGGGGGTCACTGAAACCTTCTAGTGATCATGTTGGTGGGTACTGGAATGGGACATAGGATCTGGAAGAAGTACTTTTGGCACAAAAGTGACTGATCTCAAGATCTCTTCAGGTTCTTCCACTTTCTTCAATGGAGTAGCCAGTGAAGCAGATGGGGAGACCCTCCAACATGATGACATAATGTCACCCCATTGGTATTACTAGGGGTTGTCAGCAATGGCAGAGGAGGAGGAGGAGAAGGAAATATGTAACGGAAGCTTTTGGTAGCAACCATGCACATTTTGTAAAGTCTAAATCCAGCCCAAGAGCCACTGATTACCTTCTGTATCTGGAAAACACTTCTGTGTTCTGTTGCGTATGGATTACTATGTGTGCTGATTTACCACTGAGTACATTAAACTGGGCTGAAATGCATATAGCTTGAGAATGAACATTAATGTGCAGTGAGGACATCTCTTCGCAAAGGAATGCAGCACTCTCCATGTGAACCAGAGCATAAGTAGACACACACCCCTTCATAAGCAGGACTCACTCAAAGGGGCGGGTTCATGGTAGGAGGAGAGTCTGCACGTGGAAGAGGCCCACATCCCCACTAAAGCTTTCAGGTGCAAGAAAGGAGAATTCATGAGTATGCTGTGTGCTGCCTCATGTTTAATCTGCACATTGTTGCTATGTTTGGCAGATTAATTTTCCATGATGTTTGGAAAATAAATAAATATGTGTGATGGCACCAGTGGGGGCTGCAGTTCTAGGGCTGTGCAGTCCAGGAGAGCTTCAAAGCGATCCCAAAGAGAGGGAGTAACAGTGGTGAGGATAGGAGAGGAGAAGCTTGGCACAGAGTAAAGTAAATCCTGTCTCAGTTAGTCCAGGCTGAAGTCACTTGCCATTTTATATCACAGTATTTTCAAAATTGTGGAGGATGCAGAGAGCTTTATCAATAAGCTCACTGATTCTGCCTGTGTGAAGAGAGCAGAGGACTGAGATGCCTCCCCTGTGTCTCCCTCTCTGCTTCAGAACCCTCATTGACTGTGTGTCCCCAAGTGCCTGGTCAGCTGACCTGAAAGGGTATGGTATGAATATGTGTGGGTGAGTAAGAGAGAGAGAAAGAGAACGGGGTGTGAGTGTGGAGCAGCCACACACACAACTAGCATACAGCCTGCTGGCCATCAGTTTTCTCTTGGGCAATCTGGACAAGAACAATCCTTCCCTACTTAATATGAATGATACCTTGCAACCTTGCAATCAGACACATACAATGTTAAATACCCAGTTCTGCAGGAGATCAGAGAGAGGATAACTCCTTCTCTCTGTTTCTACTCTGGTCCTATCAACATACTTTCTCATCTGCTGGGGAACCAGGGCTGTAGGTGTGGCACTTAGCAGGTGGGAGATATAAGGGGATAGGGCAGGTATTACCTCCCATAGCATTAGGGTTTAAAGGAACAGTATCCAGGTTTCAAGATTCTCGTTCTATTCCCTTGAGCTGTTCAGATCAGAATATCTATCTGATCAAGTTTAAAAAAGCAAAAACAACACACGCACATTTCTTTTCTTTACCTTTTTAGGTTCTGATATGTTATTAACATAAATAGTGTAGACACCACTTTTGTTAAAGCCAGCTTGGTATGCATCTGCACAGTCTCTGAATGCCTTGTCATCTTCTCTTTTTGCATTCTTTAGTAAAACTGCAAAACATAAAATGAATATGATATTGACATCTGCAATAACAACCTTAGTCAATATTTAACCAATAGAGGCATTTGGTTCTGTGATTGGGTTTGCCAGCTGATTTTTACTGGCTCTTCTATGCTGCCTTTAGCAGCAACCCAATGCAGAAATCAATAGCATAGTCTTGAGGAAAGATCCATCTGTTTAATTTCTATATGCCAGGCAGGTGAGCAAGGGAATGGCACAGCAAAACATGGAAGAAAGCTGAATCATGTGGTGTGCCCATTAAAACAGCTGCACCCCATCAAACTCAGTGAGACTTATTCCTAAGTAGGGGTAGGTAAGAAGTCTGCCACAAAGTCTTGCTTTTCAAACCTACATAGGAGCTGTAATATAGTGACACACACACATTGGTACTTTTCAGTATTTGGCAGTGTTGTTCATTGAATGAAAAATACACATAATGGAATAAAGAGTGCCCAAATGCATTTCTGAAGGGAAAGGGGAAGCAAAGAAGCACAGGTTAGAGGTAAACATGCACAAACATACATTATATTCTGGAAAGTAGCTTAGTGAAAATAAATATATTTGCAAAACTGCATAGAAGAATGCATCTCTTTGGAAAATTGAGCCAAAGATGTATACAATTTTTAATGCACAAAAAACATGCAAACTTTTGTGCGTCAAGAAGAATCTCATACAGCTGATACAGGAAAAGGTTGGCATAAATACAGTGCTAGAAAAATTAGAAACTGGGCAGAACTGAACTTGACAGATGCCCAGCTGCTCTTGTTCTTCCGGAGAATTTATGGCTGAGAGTCTGATATACATATTTTTTCATGTAACATCTAGTTTGACCCTCATATGTTCTGCCATTTTGGGTATCTTCACCCTTTTAACTGTATCATATGTCATGCCTAAATTAAATCCAGTATGGTGAAATTTACCTGTATTGCCAGAAATTTACCTGTAATCCATCTAGAGAGTCCTGTTGGACTATTGCTTGCAGAAAGTAAGATTAATTAAAAATGCACAAATGAATAGATAAATAAATATGATTTAAGCAGTTGTAATTTAATGGTGCTGCTTTGAAATATCTAGAGTTTGAAAGAAAACAATTCCTACTATGTTGTAATTGCATAATCCTGCATCAGTAAATTACACATTAAAGGCAGGTTGATATAAACACTATATGCATATTATGAAGTAAATACACAATAACTATTATTGTGAATAGGTTTGAGTATCTTTTATTTACCAAGGTCCTGTGTCCTTAACAGATGCATATCAACCAGAAATAAATATACCTCATGGCTGGAAGAAGCTTCCTTTTTTTCTTTATTAATATATCTACTCAAAATACAGAGAAAAAAGATAGAAACCCCAAGTATAGGTATGTTACGATATAGTAAACTCATTATTACCTGATAATGGAAGAATAATTTGCCCACTCTATTGGCACTGTGTAGATTTTAAAGAGTCTTAAAAATAAGAATTTCATTAAGAAATGTTAACATATGTAATTATAAATAAAGGATGCATAAAGCAGTAGAACTATTGTTATGTTGTTAGTTTAGCATGCACTCTTTCATTCTTGCATCAATGATATATATATATATATATATATATATATATATATGCCTTCTTCATGACACTTTTCTATGAATTTCTAGAATAACTCAGTAAATAAGGCTCATTTGTAACCTATTTTTTAATGGTATTGTGCTAGAAGTCACTTATGCCATGAAAGGTAATTTACATTAATACTGGTATTAAATTGGATACTGCCCCAACCATTAAGCTGAAGCATTTGAATGCAAGTCCATAAAATGACATTAATGTTACAGAAATCCATCTGTGTCAGATGCAGAAGTAAATGGTTTATATAAAACAATATAGCTTTTGTTGGGAGTATATTACATCCTTAAGAAAGTTTATTATAGATTATTAGCTGAACCTTAAGTGGAACTATACAGTCTTTTTATGAGTAGGATCAAGTCTTTGTGTGTGTGTGATCATGCCTGAGTATCCTAGTGTGCAATCGGGAAAGTCAATTTTAGGTTAATATAACAACTGCATTTGACAGATATTTGAAAAGTAACAAAGCGCTACATCCTTTGTTATATCAACATATGATTAGAAATGTCAGAAAATGTTGAAATATGTTAGTATCAAGATAAGCGTCCTTCGATTACTAACAGAGTTGGTTAATTATTTCCATCGGAACAAATTGCAGTAAATATTTTGACTTTCTTATTTATAGTACCAGATCTAAGATTACTGAGTAAATCAAAATAAATTTCGGTTGACACAGGCTTTTCTCAGCATCCTCTGGTACATTACACTATTACCATGGGTTCAGAAATAACAAACTAGATGTTTGGGCTGTATTTGACAATCACAGTGTTTTCCGTTATCAAAATAAGGTTGATGGTACATTGAGCAGAGTTAGGGTTGTTTCAGAATCTACCCCCACAAAGCACTGCAAAGCATGGTGGGTGCAGAAAATTTCTTAGACTGTCAGTATCGTGCTCAGAGTCAACTGTGCGTCCTCTTCTACCCACCAGATCCAATTATTCACCCCCCTCTCAATATTTGTGACAGCTCGCCAACAGCTGAGTACTTGATGGTGTGGCAGGTGCATATAAGTGGGTCATACCGAACAAGGAACTGTCCCTCACAGTATTGTTGCTACTACTGAGCTTCAGGAAATGCAAGGAGCCGCAAGAAAAAATCCTAAAAAATTCATGCAGGGAGAGGGGATTCTTCCTTGCCTGCTTCATGATCATAGCCAATCAGGGATCACATAGTAAGTGACATCACAACATCATGGAATCAACCAGATTGGCTAGCCTGAGATGCAGGCAAGTAAAGCCTTCAGATCACACTGAGTAGTGGGAAGACCAAACGCATCCCCACCTGCAAGGCAACCAGGCTGGTATTTACTACCCTATGACACTGTGGTGCTGCAAAGTAGAACATTTGCCCTCATCTGGCTCTTGTCAGACAGTTGCAGATCACCTGTGGAAGGTGAGGATGCAGGTCTGAATGCCATCCCATTGCAAACAGCATGCTCTGGATGGGAAAAAATGCAATACATTGAATCATATATGAGGTGTAATTTTATAAGGCCCCTTGTAGTTCATGAATTTGTCCGGACTTGCAGTTGGGGGTCTTTTGTGTTCTGTAGTGAGCTCAGTTTGAGATGCAGAATGTTGATGTGCCAGTTGAACACCCCCACCCCCCGCCAGAAAACTTAAGAAATTACAGGGCAACAGGAAGAAGAATTTTATGGATGGTCCTCATCATCATCCGAATCGTGCATGTGTCCCTCACCACAACTGAGAGCTGGATAGCGATACAATCTGTCAAACCCAGTTTTTACTTTTTAATTTCTTTTTAATCAACACGTGTGTGTGTTTCTCATATATGTATTTCTGTTCAAATATACACATTTCTATATGTTCACACTTATTCAAATATTCCCAGTTTTTAGATTTTTTTTATCAAATCGTGCATTTGCATGTGTATTTCCCTAAATTAATTAATTTTGCATGTCTCCAGTACAAATGTAATAGATATTTGGTTTCTAATGAATATATATTTGGTATGATGAATGCCTCCTGAACTGAATTGCAAACTTCAGAGATGCATGGGTTTTGACTGAATGATGCAACCAAGTAGATTTCTTAACCATGTCTGTATATAGCTATAGAATAATCAGATTTAGAGCTGCCAGCCATCAGGTCCAATATGGCATGGCAAAGGCATTCTTTGGGTTCTTGGAGGGGGAAAAAGTCCTTTCCTCACTACTAACACACTCCTCTCAAGAGACCTGGATAGCATCACAAAGCTGTTTAGAGCAATGCACAGGGCCACAGTGCTGGAGAGGTGGGAACAGAGTGTAAGCATTTTGTCAAAGTTCCCACTTGTCTGCTAGTCATGAAAATAAGTCACAGAAGATGAAATAGGAGAAAGGGGCACCACTCCTATGTTACTTAGACAGTGTCTGAGGGGTTGACACTTTTTTTTCAGATTCCCGTATCTGAATTCAAAATGCCCCCTTTGCAGCTGGGACAAGAACAGTACCATCTGCTCTCTGAGGTCAGGGAAGTGGAACATAGATGGGGATGTTATTTGGCCCATAATCTACAAAGATGTTGCAGCTATGAAGGCCAAATTAGATGTGCTGCTTGTCATGTGTCAGCCCAGACCAGATCAGGAACATGGCATGGAATAGAGTTTTAATTTACTCCATTTGAGTGGTTGGTGGTGGAAGCTTTACTCCAACCACTATCCTGACCAGGATCAGTCCTTCACTGAACCCACATTCTGCAATGGAGGAAAAATGTTCCTATTGATACCACAGTGAGTTCACTTCCTACTGAAAACAGTACGTATCTCTTTGTGAAGGTGTAAATTTCATTCAGGAGAGTATAGTGAGAGCAAAAGTTTAAACCCCATTCCTATGTACCACAGTTGTTATTTTTGCTCAATTGCTCCTCATTAAGAAAAACAGACTCTGTCATAAATATCACATCTAGTTTGTTCCCAGGTGTGGAAGGGATAGATTTCCATGAGAATTTCAACTAGAAAAATCTTGGTTCAAGTTGTCCTCCTCCAGGACTCAGAGAAAAAGGATCTGATCTGATCCAGGCCATCATAACTGCAAAGACACAAGAGCTAGAGATTTCTCCAAATTATGGGTTCTCTAAACCAGTCACCAGACTTTCTCACAATAGCTGGAAAAATCACTCCTTATGGTGACTAAGGGAGAGGAGATGAACTGTTCTGCTTGAGACAGAAAAATTTCCCACTTAGGAATCATAGCTGCCCAGCAGGAAATACCCGGATATATAAAGATTCCATAGTGTAATTTACACATCAGAAGACTATAATCAAGACCAGTGGTGACAGAGTACTCTCTGTCGGCACGTGAGCCAAGTTGTTCCAGCATCACCCCAGAAGCCAAGCATCGGATAATAGCATACATAGGGGCCATGCGCATGCTCAGAAAGGAGTAGTGGTGTCTGGAGATGATGTCACAAGCCACGACTCATTAGCCGCAACTCGTCCGAGCTTCTGCATGACTGGTCAGTGCACTGCCAAGGATACATAAATATTTGCTTGGACTGGATGTGAGTTGTTTTTTTCTAAACTAAAACCTCAGTTTTCAGGTTTTATTGCAATGTTGGCACTTTGCAATAAATAAGTGGGTTTTGGGTTGCAGTTTGGGCACTCGGTCTCTAAAAGTTTAGCCATCACTGGGTTAGGGATAGAAAAACAAGGTGTCCAGATATGATTTTGATGGATGGAATGTGTTTAGAATGGGCAGAATTGTTGAGCTGTGCAGGAAATGCTACTCAAGGAAGGCATTTTTGAAATCACCATCTTTTCAATGAAACTTTCAACCTATATTAGGGTTAGGGGTGTGCATCAGGGTAGGATTCAGATTTGAAAAATAAGGTTTTCTGGCATGATTTTGAAGGTTGGAATGTATTTAGAATGGGCAGAAATGATGAGCTGTGCAGAAAACATTACTCAAGGAAGGCTTTTTTTCAAAATTGCCCACCTTTCAATGGTATATTACCCCCATATTAGAGTTAGGTGTGTGCACCAGAGTAGTGTTTGGATTACAAAAATGCATCCTGGCATGATTTTGATGGTTGGAATGTGTTTAGAACGGGAAGAAATGTTGTGCTGTGCAGAATAAGCTACTCAAGTAAGGCTTTTTCAAAATTGCCCTCTTTTCAATGGAACTTTTGCCCTATATTAGGAATGGGGTATGCACCAGGGTAGGGTTAGGCTAGTGGTGGCAAACCTTTGGCATGTGCCATAGTGGGCATGCAGAGCCCTCTCTGTCGCCATGCGAACTGAGTCACCTCAGCATCACCTTAGCAGCAGAGCAGAAGATAACAGCACACATAGTGGCCATGCGCATGTTTGGAAAGGAGTAGCGCCAGCCAGGCGATGATGTCATGAGCTGCCACTCATTAGCCGCGACTCATCTGAGCTTTCACATAATCAGTCAGTGTGCTGCCAAGGATGTGTGTGTGTGTGTGCGTGCGCGCGCGTGTGCATGTGTGTGCTTTGACTGGCTATGCATTTTTTTTCCTAAACTAAAACCTCAGTTTTCTGGTTTTATTGTAGTGTTGGCACTTTGCGATAAATAAGTGGGTTTTGGGTTCCTGTTTGGGCTCTTGGTCTTTAAAAGTTTTGCCATCACTGATCTTGACCTTCTTGGAGATGGTAAATGTCTGCACAGTTAAAAATGTACTCAAACCTCAACTTACTTCCTTTAAAAGTTTTGTTTAATACACCAGCAATGCTTGGGATAACAAAAATTTGCAATATCTCTGTAAGAATAACCTGGTGGGATTTTTTCACACCCCAAACAAAAGGCCCTCAAAAAAGCACATATCTTCCTTCCTTCCTTCCTTCCTTCCTTCCTTCCTTCCTTCCTTCCTTCCTTCTAAAGCCAAAATTCCAGCAGAAAGACTGGCAATCCGTTGAGGGATTGTTCTTTTTAAGTTGGTGTAAAGTTTCCACACTCCAACTAGTGCAATGCAGATAAAAGATCAATAGGCCAAACATTGCTGTACAAGCTGAAACCTGAAAACTCTTCTTATGCAAACCTTCTGAGGAAGCATTCAGCCAAGGAATGGCTTAAATGTGCAATGTTTGCCTTACCTGGCACACTTTGACCTGGGGTTAAAAATGACCCCCCACAGCCACTAATGCTGGGTTTCATATCGACACACAGTGAAGCCGCATAGATAGGGGTGGGGGAACTTTAGTCCTCCACCACTGATGAGCTACAATTCTCGTAAACCCCAGTCAGCACACCCATTGTAGCAGAATCAAAATGTAATCAGTTTATCCAAAAGTAATACTATTGCTATGAATGTGAAAAGACATTTGCTGCCTTCCCTAATTTTCGAACAGACACAGTCTTACCTCCTTCTTTAGAACAAATGCTGACCAAGCTGTGAACGGTATCCATTAGCTCCAGCTGCTGCTTCTGCAGCATGCTGTTGTTAGTCGTGGCTTTGCTCAGTTGCTTCTCCAGCTCTTGAATGATGTAGCTTTGACGTGAAACCAAGCCTTGCAGGTTCTCCTTTTCCTCCTTCAGAGTATCCAGTTCGCCTTTATGTCTTTCTTCCATTTCAAGGATTTTGTGTTCCAATAAACTGGGGGCCAAACACATGAATAACACATTCCTTCATTTTAGTGCATGTTTCAGAATGGCTAGCTGGGTTATCAGGAAGCAGGAAGAAGATGCCCTCCCCCACCAAAAAAACACCTTTGAGTCTAACCCATCATAGGTTGCCCTTCATGGGCCTACCAATACAAATTGACCAGAGAGACAGAGAGAAAAGGTACATTGCAGAATTGCATTTATTATGAAGAAATTCAGCTCTGAGATAGACCAGTTGTCAGTGTGACAAGGGAATTATTTTTTAAAGGCTCCTATTTCTCTTTAGTTTCTTAGATCCTTTAAGATGGTCTATTTGGAGGGTTGATCATTTTTACAAATTAGTGTTCTTCAAATTTGTTGTAGAAATGCAGGAGAGTGATGTTGAATTAATGAAGGAACAAGCATGCTCCTTTATATCCATATCTACATTACAGATCTGAAAAACTTTTCCCCAGATTTCCTAATCGAATGGATTTAGGCTCTATGTTATTGCAACAAATGTCTGTACAGTCTATAACAGAAGAGGGTGGTATAACACAGATTCAAATGCACTTTCATTCCATTGTGAGATGAGAATTGCATAAATCTTGGTTAAAATGAACTGAAATTAATATATCATAAACCCCTGGATGACAAAGCTTCATGAGAGCATATAAACATGAGAAGAGCCATACTGGGAAAGGCCAAAGGCCTATTGTGTTCAGCATTTTATTCATACAGTGGCTAAGCCCACAGGGTTTCCAAGTCTCCTTTTTGAAGCCGTGCTGCACAAGCAGAGATGGGCAAGTCTAAAGTTCAGCCATGAACTGCAGTTTATCATTACACTTGAATGCAGCCAGTGTGACTGCACCAAGATTTGTCACTGAGTTTCACCTTCACCAAGAGAAATCCCAAGCTAAATTTGGAGGTTCCAGCTTGGAGAGCAACTGAGAAATTGCAAGGGGAGCAAAAAGGAGCTTCAGCAGTCCAATGAGCCACAGAAATCATTGCCAGAAGCC